TATAAATAAATGGGTGTATCTGAAGAGTTCTGACAAATATTAGCAATAAATTACAATTAATCAAATTCAAGTATCATCAATGCAATTAACCTTAAATCAAGCAAAAGCAAGCACTGATAATTTTATTGATGTATTTATTTCTAATTACTTCAGTTACTCTTTTATCATTTCAATAGAACCCTTCGCCAACCATTACAGTACACCAAAGAAGCAGATCTTACACATGATAATAATAATAATAGTAATAATGATTTATTAAGCACTAATTAAAAAATAAAATAAAAGAAAGGGGTTTAAAAATTAAAAGAGCGACCTGACTCGCCGATTCTGGCGGGCTCCAGAACCAGACTCATCGTGAAACCAGCCAACTGATTTCTGGGCTTCGAAGACAATCTGAGAAATGCCTGTGAAAAATAATAACAACACAATTCATTCAGATTCGGAATCTAAAAAATGATTAGATGAAGGAGATGATGATGATGCAGACAGACAGACAGACCTTGTTTGACGGTGCGTTTGTTCTCGCGGATCTCTTGAACAGTAGCGGAGATTTTCCAGTAGAGAGGACGACCCACGTAGAAGAGAACGAGGATGGCTAGAATCCCCACCACTACCCTAAATATCACTCTTGTTGTCGCTGATGCCATCTTCTCTTACTTTTCTTTTTTTGGTGTTGCCGTCGTCTTGGAAATTGGAACCGACTGAAACCACCGTGTGCGTGTGAGGCTAAAATTGGAGAATTGTGGAAGGATTATCGGCGTTTTATTTTTTGTTTGGTTAAAAGAAAATGTAAATGGCTGCCTCTTTTTAATGTTTCCTTCGCAAGCATGATGAATGGCCAGCGGGAAAGGACATATAGCTTGTCAGCTTTCTAATATCAGGATTGGATTGCATGATTAGGATTGTATTCTAGAATTCCATAATAAATTACTTTCTATTTAGAAATATAATAAAATAATATTTTTTTAAAAATAAATTTTCAATAAAAATAAATTTTAAATTTTTGAGAAATACAATGTTCCCCAACACATCATATAAAAGCAATTGTATTTGTAAGATGGTAAAATTTTGTATTTACCAACTTACTTTCTCATACCAGAAGGGGAAGAAAGTTAATCTGCGCATTTTGATTGTCAAAATCCGAATGAATCCATGTTTTTGTGCATGGAAGATGCATCTGAAGCAAGTCTGTTTCCTTGAGTTATAAGACCCAACCAAGATCAACTCAGCCCAAAAAATCCATCACAGCGATGCGAGGCAACCCAAGTTATGCTCTTTTTATTTATTTTTAAAAAAGAATCCCTTAGCAACATTATTTCAAAGATTTTTGTTGTATCAAAATGATTTTGTTTTGATGATAATAATAATAAAACAGTTCGAAGTAAAACCCAGCTCTGTACGCCACTAAGTTAACCAAGTCGACTCAGACCAAATTAACCAAGTAGACCCGCGCTGACCGATGCTATTTTCTCTCACTCAACAAAAAGCAAAGCAATGCTCCAAAGATCATTCTAGCATTTGCAGGCAGCAATGTTGTGGATTAATGAATGAATCAAGCAAGCCTAAGTGCTAGAGATGATATCTATAAATAAATGGGTGTATCTGAAGAGTTCTGACAAATATTAGCAATAAATTACAATTAATCAAATTCAAGTATCATCAATGCAATTAACCTTAAATCAAGCAAAAGCAAGCACTGATAATTTTATTGATGTATTTATTTCTAATTACTTCAGTTACTCTTTTATCATTTCAATAGAACCCTTCGCCAACCATTACAGTACACCAAAGAAGCAGATCTTACACATGATAATAATAATAATAGTAATAATGATTTATTAAGCACTAATTAAAAAATAAAATAAAAGAAAGGGGTTTAAAAATTAAAAGAGCGACCTGACTGAAAAGGGTTTAAAAATTAAAAGAGCGACCTGACTCGCCGATTCTGGCGGGCTCCAGAACCAGACTCATCGTGAAACCAGCCAACTGATTTCTGGGCTTCGAAGACAATCTGAGAAATGCCTGTGAAAAATAATAACAACACAATTCATTCAGATTCGGAATCTAAAAAATGATTAGATGAAGGAGATGATGATGATGCAGACAGACAGACAGACCTTGTTTGACGGTGCGTTTGTTCTCGCGGATCTCTTGAACAGTAGCGGAGATTTTCCAGTAGAGAGGACGACCCACGTAGAAGAGAACGAGGATGGCTAGAATCCCCACCACTACCCTAAATATCACTCTTGTTGTCGCTGATGCCATCTTCTCTTACTTTTCTTTTTTTGGTGTTGCCGTCGTCTTGGAAATTGGAACCGACTGAAACCACCGTGTGCGTGTGAGGCTAAAATTGGAGAATTGTGGAAGGATTATCGGC